GTCCCAGGCTTTCTGGTCTAATCATTTGCCTTCTCCTCCTGTAAAACCTGCTGGAGACCTGCTGGAGCTGCCCACCGTCCAGGATGGCTTCCCTGAAGAGCAGCCAGCAGGGCGCAGCATTGCCCGCTCGCTCAGCCGCGGGCAGCCACCGCGCCTTGCACAGTGTCCAGCACAGTCCTGGCAAATTCATTAAGCTCAAACTGATCCTAGAGATCTCAACTCCAGTTTTGGGAAGTACTTCAAAATGAGCTCTTACGTGGTGCCTCCTTGGATCAGAGGGTGCTAACATTACTATTTATGCCAGAATTCCAGGCTAAAATGATTTGAAACCTTCCCCACGGCTGTTCCTTTTCTTTTTTTTTTCTCATTTAACCAAATTCAAAACACACCAAAGGAGATGTTTCTTAGCACACGGCACAGATCAGGTTTTGAACTCATTGCCATTGAACCTGACGGATGATAAACATTTGTACAGGTTCCAAAAGAGTCTGACTGCATTAATGAAAGAACATACCCATTTGGAACCATTACATGTCTAGCTCAGTCCCTTCAGTTAACAGACACTCCCAGTATGTCCCTCCAGTTTAGTGTAATCTCCATACAGCCCTGCAAGTAATCTGCTAACATTCTCACGGAGTTTTCCATCATACTGCTCCCCCCCAAATTCTACTATTTGCAAGACTTTCAACTCACAAAATAAAGTCAAAACTGTTCTGCTCCCCATCTGCCTGTGATGACAACACAAATAAACATGGTGCGAACAGCCCAGAATCAGGGAGACAGGCTGACTTCTGCATTCTCGGACTGGCACACAGAGCACTGGCACAGGTATATGGTGGACTCTAAAGGGAGAGGTGGACTCTCAGACAGCAAGAGCTTAAACCAGCCCAGGAACCAGAGCAATGGGCAGTATCAACCATTGCACACAGAGGCACCATGCTCTGAGTGGTCACTAGCCTTTCGGGCAGGTTGGCAAGGTGCTGAGCCAGCTGAGGCCCTGGCTGACTCATACTGGGCTTCATTTTTTCCCCAGCGGGCATCACTGCGGTGTGTGAGCCCTCGGAGAGCATGGTGCTGGGTTCCAGTCCATGGATGGAAAAGTGAAAGAAGAATAGAAGAAAGAAAGAAAGAAAGAAAGAAAGAAAGAAAGAAAGAAGTGATCCATGTAACCACAGACCCGACCTCAGCAGCGTGCCAGTTTTTAGAGCAGATTTGGAGGGAAACAATAACCAAGGACATAGTGGTAAATGGATACAACATAGGTTTCCTCCAGGCAAAACTCATTGGCTGTATTTCTTTGACTAAAATAACTGCTTTTCCAGACAAAGGAAACGTGGTAGATTTAATCTATTTAGTTATCAGTAAAGAACTCCTTTTGCTGCACTGGAAATGCTTATGTAAGTTGGAGAAACTGGTGATATAATGGGAAACATGGATATCCATGCGCAATTCGTGTGGGAGGTGAGAACTGGCCACAGCGTAGTGCTGTAAAGGAGCATCAGGTATGAAAGGAATTTAGACTAGTTACCAGTGGACTTCCTAAAAGATCTGTCTTGCATTTGATCTAATTTAGTATGTTCGTTAATGACCTTGGCACAAAAAGAAGAAAACTGCTGAAAAATTGGGGAAAATGCTGACAATACAAAATCTAGAAGCGTTGTTAATACTACAGAGGATTAGGATGTCATACAGGAAGAACTGAGTAACCTTAAGTGCTGTGATAACAGAGATAGGATGAAAACTAATAGCATGCAGTGCAAGGTTGTGTGCTTAGGGACTAATAACAAGCATTTCTGTGTTAACGTAGGATTCATATGTTGAAAGAAATGAGGAGGAAAACATCTCGAATGACTGTAAGCCATAAATATGATGCAGTCACGAAAAAAGCAAAGCACATATCAGGAGAGTTACTGCAGCAGAAAACTAACCCTTGGACTCAGGAGATACTTTCAAGTCCCAAGCGGTGAAAATAAGGGCTCAGCTCTCCTGTGGTTTTCTGTAGATGAAGGCAGGGATTTCTGGTTTTTATGCTGCTGTTAAGCATCAGTGTAGGAACACTACATATTCAGCAGGTCCCTAAAAGAACTCAAACTCTGTCTATTACAGCAAAGAGGAGGAAAATTAACAGTGTTTGCATACAGACCATTACAAGTCTAACAGTTGGGAAATTTCATGTGTTTTTGGTTCTTTTCCTGCATTAGAGGGGAGCAGTTTCATATTCACAGACCCAACCATGCATGCTGAAGTGTGTGGCCACTGGCCGACCTATGTTTTCAGTAATAACAGCTGATGTGATCTGTGATTTCTGAGTCTTGTGCCAACATGAGTGCTGGGTTTGCCTATATATTTGGGTTGGTGTTCAGTGTGCTGGAAACAACCCATACGCACCGCATGCAAGAATCCAGATTCCATCTGGTTACAGCAGGGTTTTGTAAAAAATATCTAAAGAGCTAGGCAAAGGATTAGAATAAAGAGGTGCTAATAGGGTGCAGTTGGGACAGGAAAGGAAACTGTAAAGAATTTAATGGAAAAAGAGGGTCAAGGAACATAAAAAATAAAATAGGAAGAAAAAGAGGCATTTTTTTTAAAAGGTGAAAGAGTAACAATAATAAAGAATGAAAGATTCTTTTATTTTTGCGAGTTTCAACAAAACCCTTAAGAAAACTCTCTTCTCTGACGTTCAATTTTAAAACATGTCAGTATATCCAATCCTTTTTTCAACCCTTTGTTTTTTCATAAGCTAGGTTGCAGTTGCGGAGTTCTAAACTTCTCCTTGGCCTCATGAAACTACTGTCCCCTGCCCCACGTTATTTGGCTCTCCCGAGAGGCGGCTGAAGTTCAAAGGGATATGTAATTTGCAAAGCACTTTGGGATCGTGCTGGAAGAAAGACACTGTTATTAATATCATACCCTTTTTTCTCCAGATCACTTTATGTATAATGTGGATTATTATTTTTTTATTTTTATTACACTCTCAACAGCCTCCTCCTCTTCCTCTACTTATACAACATGATCTCACCCCATTGCAAAGAGTTTGCAACCCAGGTTACACATGGATTGGGAGAGGAAGCAAAGGGACAGTGTGGGATAGTGAATTGAAGTCACACAGTGGATTGGAAAGAGAAAGACAGACTGACTGTCCTGTCACCCAGTCCTGTGCTGGACAGACGACACTTCTCTAGAAACAAATTCCTGTAAGGTGATTCTCCTAAATTTTGAGTAAAAGCATAAATGTAGTTCAAAATGCAGGTTTAGTGCAGAAAGGAAAGCATTGTTCCTTCCTCTGAAGTCAGGTAAAAGGCTTAGGTCGGAGTGGAAATGGGAAAGGACCTTACTGTAACAAGATGCTACAATAATTTTACTCGAAACCCTAAAACAAATTCAGGGCTCATAAAAAAAAGCATCGATATGGTGAAAGAGAATGGTTTCTTTAAGATGTTGTTGGTCAGAGAATATGCTAAGCATGCATTTCTAATATCTGGGTGGGCAAATACAAGTGGAAATTTAAATTCTACAGAGGCATAGAGAATGTGCTTCTGAAAATGTTTCCAGTCAAAGCATGTTAAGTGTGAAAGTATGGTCTACACAGAGGGAGCGAGGGAGTGTGGTCTATCAGATCATCAGCAAGGATTTTGTGGCCTTTCTGGGTACTAAGCACATTTGGTGTCTGCTGTCATTGCTCTGAAATAAATGGACCAATGAGAGTGTCACTGTGCCAGTGATAACTGGTCCTGGGGAGAACTGTGCTGAAGGGTGGCTGTACATTGCCTGGGAACTCCATACAGAGATCCCTCGGGTCTGAATTTAGGAAACCTCCTCATGGAAATGACAGCTTTTTCCTTGAGGTCATTGGGAGTTTGTTTCTCCTTACACACCTAGAGGCACATGGGGTATCTCATTATACCTTTCAGTACCGCTGAGAGTAGTATGGCCCCAATATTGTACAGCAGCAATAATCGGCACTGCAGACAGAAAATGAAACCTGAAACAGCCGAGCCATATTGATGGATTACCTGACACTGGATTTCCCTGCTTCAGGGCACTTTAATCAGAGCACAGGTTTAATTAGAAGGAAGTGTACTGTTTCTTATTTTCTCTATTGTTTCTGCCAGTGGGATTAGCTTTGTAGGTACATTTCTCTGGCTTCTCTGATTATACAAGATGCAACAGCTAGCAGATTGTTTTGAATATGCTTTTTTTTTTAAAAATTGTTGAGCTTTATTCTAGGTTGATTTTATGATCTAACTACTATCAAAAGTGGAGTACCTATACTACTCCACAACGCTAAACATTACTGCAGAGCTAGAGTGAACTTTTTTCTTAGCAAACAAACTGAACAAATTAATTTACCTTCCTGTGTTTCATCATTTTGGCCAGAAACGTCTTCTTTTTATACAATGTAGATCAAAATTAATTCAGCTAAAAGTGCTTGCCAAATCAAACAGAGAGCTTTTTATTATTTTTAGAACTTATTATTATTAGATCTCTAATTACTCCTACTGATGCAGAAAAGCACCCTTCCTGAGGAAAGCATCTAAAACGTGTTTTGTCATAATTTCTTGACTTCAACAAGATTCGGGCATGTTTCCAGAACTATGCAGGTGTTGTTAGACACTGTAAAAACTTCACATGAAGAAGAGACACTCCTTGCCTAGAGACTCGCAGTCTGAACTATGCCAATACAGATCAGGCATGCAACACAGCGAGTCAGCTAGAGTAGCTTAAAGGCTGTGGGTTGTTTGTGAGGTTTTTTTGCAGCACTGTTTGAAGGCAGCTTGCATCGAATCTGGCCTTACTGGCTACAAATTAAATGGACTCCGAGGTAATGAAAATCTGACCTGCTCAACAAAAGGAAATTAATATTACAGCTGGTTAATATGGCTAACAATGTGTCCCAATACTTTTAGACATTTTCACCATGTTCACCAGATGGAGGCTTTGGAAGTGGGCGATTTGTGAAGGAAAAGGATATTGGGTTTTATGATTTTTTAACTCCTTACCGTGACTGGCAGGGGTGTGTGTTACATTTCCTGACCTGGGGCTCGGGGCGATTCACTCGTTGGCAGTCACTGTCATTCACGAGTGTCATGGTCTTGTTAATAATTCGAGTACAGGACACAATGGTTTTCCGTTCACCTACAAGTCAAATAAAAAACAACTCTGAAAAAGGAAAACAGTGGCTAAGAACAAAATTATGTCAACTCATTAACCAAAACTCAAAAGCCAGGAGCTCCCTACTGTCTCTGCAAGATGCTATCTACACAGACCTACTGCCTCTGCAAGCAATCTTATTCCCACTTCTGTCTTGCCTTTGTACTGTTCTGTTTGTTGTTTTTTTTTTTTTCAGAAAAGCTACAAATCTTTCCCCAATAATTGTGAAATTGACTCCTTCACAGGAACAACACGTTGGGCTTTCTCTTTCTTGTGATTAATGTGAAAAAGATCTTGAAAACAATTTGCTTTCATTTCTGGTTCCTCCTCCACATGTAGCTGTGCCCTGTAATCACCTAGGACAGATGATCCGGCTACATGAGCTGAAGCCACACAACCACCCACCCCAGTGACTGATAATGACAGGACAGCTGCCTCTTGCTGCTTCCCATTCCGGAAGAGTCGGGTTGAAAGGAGTGACTGGGATTCAATGTGTGAGTGATAAATTAGACTTGTTCATATTCCACAAAGAGGTGAAATTAGGCCACAAAATTAAATTATTTCTCATTTTCTGGTCTTCCAGGTTTAAAAACCCTGCCAGTAGGAGACACCTCAGGAGCAGTCAGCATTTCTCACATAAACTGTCTGTGCATCAGTAGCTTCACTGAGACAGCACCCCTCCGGGTCCAGCCTTCCACTGTGTGACATCAGGAAAGCTGCGCCACAGGGTGGCATGACAATGACCAGATGTGACAGGGAAAATTCCAGCCCTGCACCATGTGACTTTGCCTTACTGCTAATTATTTCGGTTTCTCAGCTACTCTTCTTAACGCTGAGTCTGCACCAAATTGAGCTTATATATGATCTGCAGCAGATATTAAAAAATAACTTAAATTCTGTTAATAAAAAAATTGTGAAAGTCCGTATGGAAGGGAAAAAGCCCTTCCCAGCTTGGATATGCAGTAAAAGCATCTGGCATCCAAAATATAAGAGGCCATTGCCATCCAAGCTCCTACTGGTGGGAACCACATTGCCAAGTACTGATTTGATTCAAATATATGGCAGCTTGCAACAGAAATCAAGAGAGCCACAAACAGATTTCCTACTCATGCATGTGAGGGTTTAATGTCTCTAAGAAATTATTGTTTTAAAACATGAGTAAAAGTAAGTGCCCATTTTAAAATGAGCTCTATTTACTGAAAAAAAAATTCCATGCTTTCAGTACAGATGAGCACTCTTCCTTTGTGTCACATAATATGATAAATAATTGGGTCTGGTGGTGAAGAAAGACTGGCCAGAATGCATGGAAACAATCCATTTTCCCCAGGGAAAAAACAACTTCTTCCAGCACTGAAAATTCAATGGCCAGTGGCTGACAAACCAGTCTCTAGTTTCACAGGCATCAACCCCCACCAGGGTTTCAGCAAATCTGTCTCAGCACATCCTAGGGATCATCTGAAAACTGTGATTTGCAATGTGCTCATGTACTCCCAGAAAGTCCACCCCACATTAAAAGCGTCTGATTGCAATCTCCAGGAGTTGTCACAGCAGCGCTGCCCCTGTTTCATCCCTGGGGAAGGAAGTGTCATTCAGTGAACATGCCTGAACACCTGCAAAAACTCTGCTCCAAGAATGTGATGGAGGCTTGAGATATGGGGCTGCACGCGGTGCCTTGAGCCATCCGGGGAGCACTAATCCAGGTGCAGCTCCAGCCTACGGTAATGAGCCGACAAAGCAGCGTCCCTGCCAAAATGCTGGGTGAAAATTAACTGTAGGGATGTGGATGATAGCTGGGAGAGCTGGTGAGAATGAGCTCTCCTTTGAGTTCATTACGACAACATCCATTCCCATGGCCAGTTTCCTTCATGCTTTGGCAACACTGTCATCTGCAGGCACCTCTCTAACGGCTGGTGTCTGTAAACACCATACGGCAAGTCCCACCAAGCTTCCAAACGGCCTTACCTCCTCCACACTGCACGCTGCACCCTTCCCATCCGCTGTGCGTCCAGATGTACAAAGAATCCTGTTGCTTTTCTGGCTCGCTTCTGTTTTCAGCAGTATAGTTTACAGGAATGGTGTATTCATAATGAATTCCATAATTCTGGTCATGAAATAACAGCACCT